AATAAGAATCAGACATGTGTAATAAATAATACTATGTAATTCTTTTTTTGAATTAGTTAAACAATAGTATGTAATTCATCTCATTCAAATAATACATAAGCTCCTTTCTCCATCTACTTGAAAAGATGAAGAAGAGAGTAATATCCAAACATCACTAGTTAGAGCTTGTTCACTTCAACCTATTCTTATTAGTTATTAGCTATTCTTATTAAGATCAGATCAAACCAGATCAGAAAAATAACTTTAAATACAACTACGATCTGACCAGATCACATCAGACCCAATCGATAATGTGAAAAGAACAAGTCCTTAGTAAGGACCCAAAATTGTTGGGGTGGAGAAGAAATATTTGTTCTCACCCAATAAATGCAGCAGGATACCGAAGCCCATTAAAATGTACGTACACCTGCATGACATGAAGCGGCACAATAAAGGAACAAACTGGGAGGGGATGTACTTGTACTACCTCCTTTAGAAAGAGAATACTTACCCAGTCCCACAATGGATGCCACTCTGCACTATTCAAAATTCACGATAACTTTTGTTTATTTGTGTTTTTTATTACTTATATGATAAAATAAAATATCGTTGTCACCTCTTGTTTTGTAGTAGAACTTTTGACAAAGATTTTAAATATGGGGATTTTACATTTTATTTCTATGTCATATTTTGAATAAATTTAATTGAAAAAGCATCAGATTTCGTATTTGATAAAATCAGGGAATCATACCAAAATTACACATTTCTTTGGTGCGCCATTATTTGTATTTAAAAAGTTTTATGAGATAAAGGAAGTATTTTTTTTAGTAAATTTAAGTCTTATTTATTTGGTGTGTCTTTAATATAATTAAACTTTTTAGTCAATATAATTAAACTTTTGTTTTCATAGTGGTTTATTAACTTGGATTGCAACTCAAATTATAATTTGTTTATTGAAAATTTAAAACTACAATTATATTTTGTCAAAAATTGTTACTAAACTATACACTTCTTGAGTAAGAATGCATAAAAATATAGGTGCATCAATTTTTTTAGTTACATTGATTTTTTGTTATGAATAAAAATATTTTCAAAGAATCGAAGTATTATGACATAATTTGACATTGGTAATAATATAACATTGTACTATCTTGTTACAGAACATACTCCCTAATATGAAAAGTGTTTGGGCGTAATCAAAACTGCACCAAATCATTTGAGTAGTAACAATATCATACAAATTTATTAAAAATACCACCCCTAAAATCCACACGACCACATTATTTGATCATTTCATAAGGTATATTTCTCAATACAATTTGACAAGGAAAAAGAAAGAAAAAGAGTTATCAACAAGAAAACAGGCAAGACAAACTAGAACTAATCAGTTTCTGGCGATTGAGCTCCGTCCATGGCGTGGCTTTGATTCAAAACTTCATTCCTGGCCAGCAGTCTCACTATTTCACTATCTGAATTTCATAATCGGGTATTTCGCCTCTCTTCTTTGTTCCTACCTGGTACGCCTAGGGTTTCGTCCAGAAATGCCGAGTTTTTGTTCTTGAGCTTTTCTCTTTTTATAACTTGTTTATTGTTTCTGCTGGTTAAATTGAGTTTTTGTTGTGTTTTCTTCGTATTAAAGTTCAATGAAGTATGCGGGCGATTTTTTCTTGATGAATGGCATTTGAATTCTGCTCGTTCTTGTTGCAGGATCATTTAGGGTTTTCAGATTTGTTGTTGTTGTTGTTGTTATTCCCTTCATCCGACCTAAATAAATATGTTGATTCTAGTAGGAATTTATGATTTTGATTTCATCTTATTTTCTTCTTTGGTTATCTGCATTTCTCTTATGAGGGATTACTAAGCTCTGGCAACTTCTGAAATGGGTGAGGTGTGTTAAAGGAAATTGGGATCCTGAGCTTTGAGAATTGTATTGTTTGCTAGATTTATTGTTGGTTTTGGGTTTCTGAAATGTTATGCCAAAATAGGTTGCTTCAGTATAGACTAGGTAGATGGACTGCAACAGGGACGAGGCTTTGAGGTCGAAAGATATTGCGGAAAAGAGGTTTTTAGCGAAAGATGTTAATGGAGCAAAGAAGCTTGCTCTCAAGGCACATAATTTATATCCTAAACTTGAAGGCATTTCACAGATGCTGGCAACGCTTGATGTTCATGTTTCTGCTGAGAAGAGAGTAAACGGAGAGGTGAATGTTTATGAAATTCTCGGCATTAAACCAGATGCTAATGAAGATGTTATCAGAAAGCAGTACAGGAAACTGGCTCTCATTCTTCATCCTGATAAAAACAAATCCATAGGAGCTGAGGGAGCCTTTAAGTATGTATCAGAGGCCTGGAGCTTGCTGTCTGACAAGGATAAAAAGGCAGCATATGACCACAGGCATGCTAATGTGTTCCAAAAAAAAGTTCAGTCTTCGATTGGAAATCCATCAAAACCACCAATGCAGAATGGCTTTTACAATTTTGCGAAAAATGCTGTGTCACAAAAGAAGCCTCCAAAAGAAAACAATGATACAAACACAAATCCCGAATCATCCAAAGAGAAGGAGCGCAGAACCTTCTGGACAGTTTGCTATCGGTGTAAGGTGCAATATGAATATCTTTTGAAGTATTTACATCGAAACCTTCTTTGTCCCAACTGCCATGAGGCTTTCTTTGCAGTAGAGATCACACCCCCATCTAATGAATCAAAAAGAACCAACGATGGTGATAACACACAGCACCAAGGAAATTTGAAGCATCATGGGAAGAACAAGAAGATTCCCGGTAGTGTAAAAAGTAATGCAGGCACTTCAAATGTGAAATCTACAGGGTTCCAGTGGAGCCCCTTCTCTAAAACTGCCGGTCCAGCATCTGCTGTTCATGCAGCAAGTGTAGTTCAACAGGCGTATGAGAAAGTGAAGCGAGAACGTCAAGAAGCACAAGCTGCAACAAAAAGAGAGGATGCATTACGAAGGAAGCATTCTTCCTCCAAAAGAGCTTATGGGGTGCCATTAGCTGCTAACTCCAGTGCCGCGAAGAGGAAAAGAGACGGGGATAGTCCCAGTACAGCTAGAGAAACGTCAAAGGAGAACATAGATATTGGTTTAACCTACAGAACAGGTTTGTCTGGGCACACTATATTGAAAGGTAGGAGTATACTAGGGCACAAGATGGGCATGGTATATCGTGGTGTTAAGCATATGTTGATGGAGAAGGCAAAGCAACAGATACATAAGACAGCGGATGAGAGGAGATCTTCTACCATGGCTAACTCTTCTGCTTCAGGTGCGGTTAATATGAATGAGGAGATACCTGTGAGCATAGAAGTTAATGCCAGGCAAGATAGTGAGCGAGTCACTAATAGCATCGAAGTGCCTGCCAAAAAATATGATATTGCCACCACTGGGGGTTATTTATGCCGTGGAGTTTGTGAGCATGTTTCAATAGATGTACTAGATTCTGATTTTTACAACTTTAATAGAGATCGAACAGAAAGTTGTTTTGAAGGCAACCACATTTGGGCAGCATATGATAATGATGATGGTATGCCTCGGTATTATGCCATGGTTCATAATGTGATTTCAGTGAATCCCTTTAAGGTTCGGATCAGTTGGCTCACTTCACTAACCAACAATGGACTAGGCCCTCGATACTGGTTTGATTCTGGTTGCTCAAAAACATGTGGCAGCTTTAGGAAGGGCAGACATGAAATTCAAAACTCTCTCAGTTGCTTCTCTCACAAGGTTAGGTGGTCAACGGATTCACATGGGGCCATACAGATATTTCCTAGAAAGGGAGATGTTTGGGCGTTGTACAGAAACTGGTCTAGAGAGTGGAATGAGCTCACAGATAGTGATACAATACACAAATATGATTTGGTGGAAATAATTGATGATTATGACGAAGAACAAGGGGTAATTGTCACCCCTCTTGTGAAAGTTGCTGGCTTCAGAGCAGTGTTTCACCGGCATTTGAACCCTCATGAAATGAGAGTAATCCCAAGGGAAGAAATTTTTCGCTTTTCTCATCAGGTACCATCCCACTTGCATACTGGTAAAGATTGTACAATTGCCCCCAAAGGTTGTTTGGAGTTGGATCCAGCTGCTTTGCCTTCAGAACTTCTTCATGTTATTCCAGACGTCGACGAGGCTGAAAGACTAATTGACGAGGGAAACATTGAGGAAAATATAAACGCGAAGGCCGAGTGTTCTCAATCCACTGATGGGGTTTTAGAGGACGCCAAGAATAAATCCAGGGAAGTAGAATCACAGAAGAATGCAACCCAAGAATGTAAATAACACAGGTTTTCTGTTGCCGAGGTATTTATTGACTGATCATATGATTCGATTCTACTCTTGGCTTGTAGCTGTTTGAGACCAACACAATTTCTTGTCTGCAAATTGAAAAGAGTGTAGACAGGTGAAAAGAGTGTCAACACTATATAGAGCTTTTATCAAAGGTGGAATGTCCACCACGGGTGCCCCCACACCCCGGTTCGACAGGATCGTGAGGAGGGGTGGGTTGGAATCATATATAGCTTTTATCAATCAAAGATGTTGGTGTGCAGTGCTTCCCCTTTTCATTTATAGTCCATTTATGGCATGGGTATTCTGCATGCTTGATCTTATAGCCAAATACATCAGAGTTTCTCTCTCACACATTTAGTTTGGCATTGATTGTAATGATATTATAGACCAAATCTCTAATACCATCCACAACAGGATGAAAGGAATTGCCCCCATTAATTCTCTTGTAATTGCCACATAAGCATTTTGATACTATATTTGACTCCCATCTTTTACATCTACAATGAAGAGTACAAAAATAAGCCCCACTTTGGGTTTCACATTTTTCAATTATTAAAATTTGCTCATTCTTTACATATGTACATGCCATTTTATTCCCTCTGTATCATATAAATCATTTACTATTGAATTATATTGTCATAAATTGAATATACTCTAAGCTAAATACTCACGATATCTATTACTCCGTATATACTACTATTGGAATCTTACGCAATTAATGTATTTAATTTCGTCTTTAGGTGAGAAATAGCTATCACAACTCTTTAATTGTACTGATTAATTGTACGGTATCAAGATCTCAAGATTTCATGTCCAGTCATGAAATAAAAACCATGTCCATGAAAAGTTATGACCAGCCATAGATGGAACTTTTCCTAATACACTTTCAAAGATGATGAAATCTATGCCCGATCAACTTTCCCTGGATGGGGTGACAAACGCGTTTTTACTAGACGGCACACATGATCAAAAGAGGGAGTAGTTTCCCGCAGTAGGAAAAACTTTGGAAATAAATTCCTGATTGTAGGATTGAATTTCTGAGAGGGAAGATTGGGATTCAACATCCCAAATTTTTTTTAATAGGGCCTACAAAAAACAGGATTCAACATCCCAATTTTTCTGAAAAAGTTTTTCACTTTTGCAAGAGATTCCAACTTTAGGCATGTGAGAATGGTTTTTTAATGCATTATAATAGTTGTATCCGTATGTATCCATCCTTAAATAGCAAAGTTAGGTTCTTTTTTCATTTAAGTTTTCTTCCTCTACAATTCTCTATATATGATAACTAGCAAGTATTCCTACCCGTGCAATGCACGGGTTGGGACAAATATCTTATCGATTCTGAATTTATTCAATACAATATTTTTTTCCAGAATAGAGGAAATATACCTCATGCATGATTTATAATAACACAGAAAAGAAAGGCAAAGTAAAAAGAATAATATTTGAGGAATTGAATCTACACACAACAAATTTTGCTTTAATACCAAATTTTTTTGAAAGATTTCAGGATATACAATATTTTTTGTATGGCTGCAAGGATTTCCATTCTCATCTAAGATTAATATTTTTAATCATGTCTATGTCTTTACTCGCGAAATAACAACATAAAGCTGACCATGAGTGAACACTGACTTGATTAAAAATAATCCAACAAATGAAAATATTTGACCCTGACTTTTGTTAATGGTCGTAGCAAAACATAAGACTATTGAAAATTGTCTTCTATGGATAGTTTGAATCTGAATGCAAGATTTTCGGAAATGCAACCAACCTAATTCCATAAAGTGGTATTCTGTCACAATTGTTTCAGTGACAGTCGTCCTTGCTTAGAAATTTAGGCGAAAGTCATGTCGTGAAGTGCAATAATATCCACTGCTATTGCTGACGCCGAAGTAAGCAAATACACATATACTGATCCTTCCTTTATTTTCTTCTCAAAAGTTCCCACTAGAATTTTTTTTACACTGGCATGGATAGTAGTTTCCTACATAGTATCAAGGAAACATGAATAGTTATGAGGATTTCATAAGCTTGAAGTCCTAGGCAGTTGAAAATCTTCAAGGACAATAAAAAATAAAGAACACCAAAAAACATGATAAAAAAATAGCAGACTATAAATCTGAAAATAAGAACATGGATTGGAGTGTTCAATACCTTTATCAATAAATCATTTATTCATTGAGATGAAAAAAGAAGCTTCAACGTTTATTTATAGAAAAGCTTCAATACTTTAATAAAAAACATTTATTTATATAAAGATAAGGAAGATGATATAAAAAACAATTTGAGGAGAAGTGGAGAACAAAAAGGTCAAGATCCATAGGAGATTTGTTAGCCTTAAAATCACGGAGCAGACCGTCAATCTACACATCAATGACTCTTGAATTCTTATTCTGTGTGTTGGTATTGATTTGGGTGATTATTTGTATTTATATTTCTTATCATTTCAGGTATTAGTTATAAAAAGTAAATAGATTATAGTGTGATTTATTTTTTCAATACTTAAGGACTGGAGAAACTTCAAGAGATTATAAAAATTAAACTGCACACCATAAAATATGTTCAAAAATAGGAGGCTATAAATCTGAAATTAAGGTCTGAAGAATAAGGACACACTCAAGTCGCCAATACTTTAATAAAAAATATATTTTTTATGGTGCTGAAAATAGAGATTCAAGGACAACAGACTTATTACACTTTAAGAACGGTAGAGTTATTATTCATAAATTATAAGAATTTCTTCTTAGTCACTATTAAAAAATTTAGTCTCATGGTTTTAGGCACTGGAGAAACTTGAACATGAATAGGTACTAAAAAAAATTAAACAGACTATAGTGTGTTTTGTTTTTTAATGCTTAGAATCAGAACATACAGACTATAGTGTGTTTTGTTTTTTCAATACTTTGAATTTGGAGAAACTTCAAAAAACTAAAAACTAAACTCCACACCATAAAATATGTTCAAAAATAGCAGACTATAAATCTAAAAATAAGGACAGACTCAAATCTTCAGTACTTCAATAAAAAAAGTGCTGAAAATAGAAGCTTCAAGAAAAGCAGACTCATTTTACTTTAAGAACAGCAGACTTATCATTCTTCATTTATTTATTCAATATGGGCAATTGAAGAATTTTGGTTTTTTACACAAATGAGTATAATTGTGTTTTGAAAGTAAATGCAAAATAACCTTCCAACCACTAAAAAATTATAAGAAATCCTATTAAACATAAATTTTTATTGTATGCAAAATACGAATAAGAGTACAATTCTTATATGTTCGTCCATAAATATCATCTCAATCGAATTCGTCATCTTCTCATCATTATACACTGGCATCTTGTACAGTCGAATCACACAAACCAAAACTCTTTAGCATTCAGTTGATGAATTGATCTTCAACAAAGAGTGGATCGGTTTGGAAGACATGTCAATTAATCAGAGGTTTTAGGTATGAACGCGGCTTACAATGAAAAAATAGATTGATGAAACTTAAAATTTGATTTATATATGACCTAATATAAATCACAAGAAGGAAACTTACAGCAATAAGGGTAGAAAATCCAGAGATTTCAACCGGAAAATTTGAAAGAAGAACAAATTTTGCAAAGACTAATCATCATAAGAAGGAAAGAAGGCCAATCATCCCAAAAAAATTATGTCTTTTTAAGAAAATGGAAAGTTACCTATTCTTGGTACTGATCGTTGGAATCTCCGTGAAGAAGTAACGTGAAGAAGGAAAGAGATTAATTCCAATCACATATTCTCTGAAATCTCGCGGTGGAGCTATTCGAAGATGAATTCTACACAGAGTAGCCCAAATAAAATAAGCCCAAAATAATGTCATTATCCAACCCGTTTGAAATATTGAGTAAGTCCAATATGATGACATGGCTTATGAAGTGTCAAAAAAATCCCCGTCAGCATGACAAATGTCAAAATTCTGAGAGTTAAACTCCCAAATATAATATATAAAGGATAAAGGATATAGCCAAAAAAAATATATTTTAGATTACAAGATTTAAGAATCCAAAAGAGTAAAAGAAGGTCTTCTTCTTTTGGAAGGTATGTAGTGTTTTACTTATCTTTTTTTTGTTTCATTAGCTATTTAATTATTAAAAAGTCCCACCATTCACATTTCTATTACAATTTTTATTTCTTTTTTTCGATAACTTAAGTTTATTTATGCAATTCATTAAGTATTTGATAAAATAAAAGATTATTGTCACCTCTTGTCTTTTAAAACTTTTGACGTAGTTTTTTAATTAGAAATTTTTATTTCTTATTAATATACCAACTTATAAATTAAATGATTTCAAAAAGTGAAAATAAGTGAGAGTATGATAAAGTAGAAAAAAAGTGGCAGAAGTTGTATTTAACAAATAACTTATTTTATATGTATTAGTGTGATGGATGAAGTGCAAAGAGATCTCGCTGGACCAAAAAGTTTAGAAATATTAAATTTACAAGCGGCTCATCGTTCTCTCCGTATTTGGAATGACCCGACATATATTGATGCAAAAGTAGAACCGTGTCGGTATGATGGTCATATCCCTACAAATTTTACAGACCCAAGGGTTATTGAGAATCTACGTAGAGCTGGATTTTATGGGGTCCACCGAGTTCATCCCATTAAATTAGATCATGGCCTCATCACTGCATTGATGGAGCGTTGGAGGCCTGAGGTACATGCATTTCATTTCCCATTTGGAGAAATGGGTATAACTTTACAAGATGTAGAGTGTCTTATGGGGTTGCCAATTGATGGTTTTCCTATTCTGGGTGCGCCACCCATGACTCCCGAAGAACGAGATGCAGGCAAGAACTCTTTCACATTTAAAATTTTATAATCCTTCGTCTTATATATTTCATTTTTTTGCAGGCAAGAACTCTGGTTGGAGTGAGAGATAGTCTTGATAAGAGTCTTGAGGAGCCGAACACCATGTTAGTCACTGTCCTAAATTGCAGAGACCTCATCAATCGTAAATTAGACAAACTTTCTCGTAACGAACACTTGGTGGGCGTGCAATTACACGGAGATGAAGCAGATCGGGAAGAGAACGATGAACATATCAATCCGGAAGTTGAGGACTTTGAGGCAGCTGGAGGAGCAACGCAAGAGGACTTGTTTGGGGGATCTTCGCAGCAGTTTCAGAGTTTTACTCCGTTCGCAGGGACTTCCCATGCCTATGCAAGCTCATCAAACCGAGATGGTTTCGACGACTTTACATCTTGGTTTTCTGATAATGTTTAATCTTTATGTCATATGTTTATGTGACAATTTCTATTTTCTTTTTATTTATTGCGAGGTGTTTTTTTACATTAATGTGGATTTATGTACTCTTTTATATTTAATATATTATATTATTTATTCCCTACACTCAATTCACATTTATTTATTCGTAAAAATATGTTATACATTAAACAATGAAGCGCTTTTGCCTACGTCACATCCGTAGCAACTTCATGACAAAATTTCGTAACTCAGATCTCAAACGTTTGGTGTGGGCCGCTGGGAGCACTCCTAATATCTAAGAATTTCAAGGATATATGGGAGAAATACGGAATGTCAGTGAAGAGGCATATCTTTACTTGAATGATATTTCACGTGAAGCGTGGGCTCTATCTTATGATGGTGGTTTTAAATGTGGGATTTTGACAACCAATAGTTCAGAGAGTTTTAATAATATGCTTAAGGGTTGTCGGATGTTACTGGTCACTGCCATTTTGAGTATGTCTTATAGCAAAATGGTTGAATCTTTTGCAAAATGGCACAAGACTGCACTCAATTAGCAACAAAAAAATTTTCGTATCACTCCGAAAATTACGAACATCTTACGAAGTCGTGAGCGAACAAAACATAAGTGAGCTGTTGCAGACTATGGCAACAACCAATATGTTACTAGTCATACTTCTCGAACAGATCCATCATCTATCTATAGCTACATGGTGGATCTTGTGAATAGAGTATTAAGGAAAAGACTCCTAGTTGATATGTATATGTCTAGATGCAATGTAGCTACTTGTTCTTATCACTTTGTACAGGTGTATACTCCCTAGTCTTGTGCCTTGAGTTTAGGAAAGGCCAACCTGCGTACATGTATATATTCTCTTGACTATTGTATTTGACATACACAAGTTTAATCACAATCTTTCATCTTTTATATGGCATCAGAGCCGTAGGAATTTTTTTCCTGCTTCTTGGTTCACCCGCTGATCTTCTCTGTCGGCCTTCTCACTCTGTCAAGATGACATACAAAATCACCAAAGATACTCTGGTTATTCAGCTTCATGCTAAAACCCACTTTCCGATCAAACTGGTCACCCTCAATTTTCCAATCTGGCAGCGTCAAGTTCACTCCACTCTTATCGGCCTTGATCTCCTTGGCTATGTCGATGGGACACTCACGTCTCCCCCTCAACTTGTGGACGGTGCGGTCAACCCGTGCTACTCAATCTGGTTCCGGCAAGATCAGGCCATTGTTGGTGCTCTACTAGGTAGCTGCACCGATACCATTCAACCGCTGATCTCCAACGTCTCTACGGCACGTGATGCATGGCTGAATCTTCACTCCAGTTTTGCAAGTGCCAGTCGCGGCCATATTTTGGCTCTCAAATCTAAACTTGGCAAAAATCCACGTGGCAATCGATCCATCAATGACTACCTTCATGATATGCACTCTATTTCAAATGAACTCGCTCTGAATCAGAGCCCGGTTAAGGAGGAAGATCTGGTGGCTCACGCCCTCAATCAACTCGGCCCCGAATATGATCCAATTTCATCGGCCGTGTTCCTCCGTGGCTCTGCTCTTCCTTTCACCGAATTGGGTGATGTACTTCGAGATTTTAAGCGCAAACTTCAGCTCATCGATGATGCTGCTCCTTCCCTGGTAGCAACGGCGCACACTGCCCAGCGCCACCCTTCTGCCGGTTCTCGATCTTATTCTGGACATTCGGCTGGGCACTCATCTCAGTTTTCTCGTTCCTCCCCCACCTCGCGGCAGCAACATGGCTCATCGAAGCAGCCCCGCCGTACTGATGGTTCTTCCTGCCAGTTCTTTTCGATTCCTGGTCATGACATTAGAGTGTGTCGTAAATTGGCTCGCCTCCTCCGGGATAATGGGCTGCAGTCTATGCCGGCCTCCTCTTATGGCACTACTGGGCCGGTTGCTCATGCTACTACTGCTTCTCCGAATGGGCTAAATCACTGGATGTTTGACAGCGGCGCCAGTCATCATACCACTCCGGCTCCTCAGTCACTCCAGTCCTTCTCCGATTATGGTGGTCCTGATGAGATCCGTCTGGGCAATGGTGAGGGTCTTCCCATAACTCATATTGGTACTACTTCCCTCCCTACTTCTTCTAGGTCTTTGTCTCTAACCAATGTCCTGTGCGTTCCTCAATTGTCCAAAAACCTTGTGTCTGTCTCTAAATTGTGTCAAACTAATCATGTTTCTGTTGAATTCTTCCCTTTGTCTTTTGTGGTTAAGGATCTGAAAACGGGGGCGCCTCTTCTTCAAGGTAAAAATCATGGTGGCGTTTACTATGCCGCTCCCGCTCGTCCGCCCGAAGTGCATCATATTGGTCTCTCCGATCTACATCATGCGCTAGGGCATCCTTCCAATAAAGTTTTGTCTCAGATGTTGCATCAATGTAATAAACGCGTCTCTACATATGACTTTGAGACGTTTCATTGTTCTTCCTGTTCAATAAACAAAAGTCATAAACTCCCTTTCTCGGATAATTCTTTAAATAGCACGGCTCCTTTGCAACTGGTGTATTCCGATGTTTGGTCTTGCAATGATGTCTCTGTTGATGGTCATAAATATTATGTCATATTTGTAGATCATTTCACAAAGTATGTGTGGTTATACCCATTACGTTGCAAATATGATGTTTCCACACTTTTTCCCGTTTACAAGACAATGGTGGAAAAATATTTTAACCGCCCATTAATCTCTTTATATTCTGATAATGGTGGTGAGTATATTAAACTTCGCTCCATTCTTATGTCTCATGGTGTGTCCCACTTCACTACTCCACCCCACACGCCCGAACATAATGGTACGTCTGAACGTCGCCATCGTCATGTGGTTGAAACAGGTTTGTCGTTACTCCACCATGCCTCCATGCCAGTTACTTATTGGCCATATGCGTTTCAAACAGCCGTTTATCTCATCAACCGCATGCCCACACCTATCTTACAAAATTATAGCCCGTACACACTTCTTTTTCACACTGAACCAAATTATCTTAAGCTTCAACCTTTTGGGTGTTTGTGCTATCCTTGGCTTCGTCCGTACACCACGTCCAAACTTCAACCAAAATCTGCTCCGTGTGTGTTTGTCGGCTATTCCACCACCCAGTCCGCCTACCTTTGCCTTGAGCCCACCACACACCGACTTTATGTCTCTCGTCACGTCAAATTTATTCCTCATCTATATCCTTTCTCATCCTCCCTCATTACTCCTCCTGCCCGCTCTACTGCTCCAACTTTACCTGCAGTGCGTCCGTCCCTTTCGTCTTCCGGGTTGACTGCCGAGTCGCCATCTCCAGTCGCTCCTGTCCAATCTTCAACCCTGGTGTCTCTCCCTTCTGTCTTACCTACTGCCGACACAATACCCTTTAACACCTCTTCCTCACCTCCAAAGTCCACTGTCCAACTCGCCTCTTCATCCAACCCCCTGCCCACGTCTACACTGCCCTCCCGCCCAGCTCGTCAACGTCGTCCAAATTCACGGTTTTTCAATTCTGAGTTTGTCACAGACTCTCCTCAATCAAATGTTACCACTCCTCACCCTCTTCCCGAACCTCTTGAACCCAGGACTATTGCTCAGGCGCTCAAGGATTCTCGTTGGCGAGCAGCTATGGATGCCGAGTATCAGGCGTTACAAAAGAATGCCACGTGGGAACTGGTACCTCGGGCAGCCCAGCGCCCGATTGGGTGTAAGTGGATTTTTCTCATCAAGCGGCGCGCGGATGGGTCTATTGACAGGTTCAAAGCTCGTCTTGTGGCTAAGGGATATTTGCAAGAACCAGGTCGCGACTACTTTGAGACGTTCAGTCCAGTTATGAAGCCTGTCACGATTAGGATTGTTCTCAGTCTTGCTCTAGCCAACAACTGGCCTTTACGTCAATTGGATATTAATAATGCGTTTCTTAATGGCAACTTATCCGAGCAGGTATTCATGGAGCAACCACCTGGCTATGTTCATCCGGATTTCCCCGCTCATGTGTGTCGTTTGTCTAAGGCTATCTATGGTTTGAAGCAAGCTCCTCGCGCATGGTATGAATCACTCTCTTCCTTTTTACGTGCCACTGGCTTCTGCAAGTCCCGGGCTGACTCCTCCTTGTTCATCTATGCTAAAGATCGTGTGCTGGCTTATTTTTTAGTCTATGTGGATGACATTATTATTATGGGGAACTCTTCTTCCTTCATTGGTTCTTTTGTTGAGACTTTAGCACGCAGGTTCTCTTTAAAGGATTTGGGGCATCTCAGTCACTTTCTTTGGGTTGAAGTTATCCCTACGCCTTCTGGTATGTTTTTGTCTCAGGCTCAGTATATCACTAATATTCTTGAGAGTACTAACATGGCTGAAGCGAAAGGGACTTCCACACCTATGCTGTCCTCGTCTCTTCCCGCTATCTTGGTGGCAGCCTCTCCCACTGATGCCACTGCATTTCGTCGGGGTCCTTGGTCGTCTACAATATCTCTCTCTCACTCGACCCGATGTCTCCTTTGCGGTCAATCGTCTTTCTCAATATATGCATGCACCCATGACTTGCCATTGGGAAGCCCTAAAAAGGGTTCTCAGGTATCTCAAATCTACGTTATTTCATGGTTTATTTTTGTCAAGGACTGCTGCCCTGCAACTCTCGGCCTTCTCAGATGCGGACTGGGGAGGTGTGACAGATGGTGGTCGCTCTACGACTGGCTATGCGCTCTACCTTGGTTCTAATATTATCTCTTGGAAATCAGCGCGTCAGAAAACAGTCTCTCGATCCTCCACTGAGGCTGAATATCGCGCTCTTGCTAATGCGGTCGCCGAACTTGCTTGGGTTCAGAATCTATTATGTGAACTACGGTTTGGTCCTCTTCCGGCTCCCCGGCTTTTTTGTGACAATCTCAGTGCTGTCTATGTGTGCAAGAATCCTGTTTTCCACTCTCGCATGAAACACCTTGCTCTTGATTATTTTTTTGTGCGTGATCTAGTTGCAGATGGCCGTCTACATGTTATTCATGTGCGTACCAGTGAGCAGACGGCTGATATCCTTACGAAACCGTTGGGTCGTGGACTGTTTCATAAATTTCGGTCCAAGATTGGTGTCTCTGACGGCGCCTCCATCTTGCGGGGGCGTATTAAGGAAAAGACTCCTAGTTGATATGTATATGTCTAGGTGCAATGTAGCTACTTGTTCTTATCACTTTGTACAGGTGTATACTCCCTAGTCTTGTGCCTTGAGTTTAGGAAAGGCCAACCTGCGTACATGTATATATTCTCTTGACTATTGTATTTGACATACACAAGTTTAATCACAATCTTTCATCTTTTATATAGAGTTTGCACTTGTGGCCGATGGTCTACCGATGCAGTCCCATGTGTTCATGTTCATGCTGTTTTCCACTCTAAGCGTCAAGTTGCTGACAGTCTCATCCCACCGGTATATTCTGTTCAAAATTATCTACAGTGTTATAGTGGAGTGATTCATCCAGTTGTTTTTCAACCCAATTTAGATATTGGTGACTTTCGTGTCAATCCACCAATAAGGCCGGAGGGAGAGATTCCACGTTCAGGAAGACGTAAGCGTAACCGGTACATTGGTGAGATGGATCGAAGAGCTATCAGAGGAGGATGAATATATACATCTACCACGTACACTTAATGTAACTTTATTGGTCTTTTTGTTGGATGTATCTTGTTCAATAAAATATTTATTTCATTATTTTTTGTTTATGAAAAACTTCAATTTTTGTTCATTTTTTTAGATTTTAAATATTTATATTAGTAATTATACACCTCCCATGCAAAATTAGTAATTATTTGTATTATTTAAAATAATCAGGATTCTAAAACATTAAAAAGGCAAACAAAAGAAAATATATGCACTTCACTTACGGTTTTTTAATTGCCCATGCAAATTCCATAATTATTTACTTTTAAAAATCGGGATTTGTAAACCCGAAAAAATTCCATAATTATTTACTTTTAAAAATCGGGATTTGTAAACCCGATTACTAAAAAAAAATTGAGAAGTGAAAATCGGGATTTGATATCCCGTTCTTCCCATTTGAGAATTTGAAGCTAAAATCCTTCCCTCTGGCGTAATTTCTCCCAAAAGAGGTCACCCTGCCATCCTGCAGTGTATCACCGCACAAACAATAGAATGTATCTTATAGGCAATGTCACCTATGATTAGATAGTGATAGTCTAATGTAGATTTGTTAGAGCACTGGTAATGGTCTTGAAGCCCCGGGGCTTCAAACCTTTTCTCTCTGCCACATCAGCTTTAACTTACCCTAAAATTTCACTGGAAATGGGTTTGAAGCCCCGGGGCTTCAAACCTCTATTTTTTATATTTTTAAATATACATCTTCTAAAATTAAATTAATAACATTTTATCAATTAATTGAATTTAAATGAAAATAAATTATTAAATAAAAAAATAAATAAAAGGTAAATTAACCAAATAAGATTTGAGTAATGAAAACAAATATATAAAACATTATATTACTTTATGAAGAGAGCGACTAAAAATATCTTCATTTAAACCGGGGTTGTAGTAACATATTGCAAACTGAAATAATACGGAGTACATTAATTAAAAAATACAATCAATAAAAAAGTATGTTAAATTTAAAAAACAACAAAAAAATTACATTACGAAATAATTTTTTTTTTAAAAAATATTACATTAAACAATAAAATATAGAGTAAAAAAATTATGTTTGTGTTTGTTTTATTTTTTTAAAGAGAAAGAATATGAAGAGTAAAAAAAATATTTAGTCTTATGGCACTTAAGTAATTTTTTGTTGTTTTTTAAGGAATGAAACCCGTTAAACGTTTGAAGCATGAAAGATGAAGCCCCTTTGAAGCCCCAGGGGGGCGGTGTTTGCTGCCCCTTTGGCGTTAAAAGCGGCAATAACGCTCCGGGTGTTATGCTCATTACCAGTGCTCTTAATGATTGTACGTTGCCCAATTCTCTAGATGGTGCTACTTTAATACTCCCTCTATCCCAGCATCTTCGTCTAGTTTGATTTTTTTGAGTCAAACTAAACAAACTTTAAACATTAATCACTCTTAATTTATTTTGCATATTAATACAATAAAGTAAAATTTTAATAGTTCTCAACAAGATAAATATATTGAAATAATTTTTATACTAAAATACATTATCATTTTTATTTAATTAAGTTCCAAAGTTTGTTCAGTTTGACTCAAAAACGTCAAACTGGACGAATAAACTGAGACGGATGTAGTATTTTATAAATAAATAAAAAATACCATGTCTTAGAGAGTGAGGAATACCGTCATTATACTTCTATTTTGGTATTTTCAAACTTTTTTTTAACTCTTATATAAGGAGATTTCTTTTTATGTTTCTTTGTTTGCAACTTGCAGAAAAAAAAGAGAAATACAAAGAAAAACTATGTATTGGCAGTGTAATAGGGTGTAAGCAGTCAACTGTCGGCGGACCATCGGCCAACGTCAATGATCGGCAACGACACTCTAGTTAGTGGTTGCGACGAAGGTTGGCAGTTTGGTAGTGATAGTGTGGCAGTTTTTTTGTGACAATGTGATAAGTGTATTGGATAAACTCCTATTTTGGTCTTAAAAGATTTATACTCCTATTTTGGTTGTTTCATACTACGTACTATTTTTTATTCATATCTTGGGAGTTCTCCCAATGATAAAAAAGTTGAAAACGAGAAATAATACTCCCCCGTTCCTAAATAATTTCTTATTTTAGATTATAATGTTTGACATAAGTTATTTTAATTAAGTTTATATAAATATTTTCATAGAATTTAAAAATATGATTTATTTATTTAAAAACTACTTAAAAATTCTACAAAATAAGCAATGTTACTATATTTTTATTAAATGATTAATAAAAAATGGGCCTTTATAGTTACTCACTTACACGATACGGAGTATATATTTTGATGATGTTTCTCCGTGTTTACTCCTAATTACTGATAAATAATTTTTAATTTATAAATTATTTATAAGCCAAATATTTTTTTATAGAAATACAATAATTTAAATAATAGATAAATCATTTGAGAAATGTTCATAACTTTCATGGGAGAATAGCATGGGTGCCCCCCGTGGTTTACAAAAGAAGCGCTAAAACCCTCTCTATTTTCAAAAGTTATTTGTAAAACCCCTGTGGTTTTTAAATAGTGCACAAACACCCTCTCTTGCCTATTTTACACATGAAATGACATTTCTGACCTTGGTTTTTCTCTATCTTCAAATTTCACTCTTTTCTTTACATTTTTTGTCATACAAATAAATAAAATAAAATATACGCCCTCCGTCTAAAATTAAAATTTTTTATTTATTTAAGTTTCATGAAAATAATTTTTTTTAGAAAATGTTACAAAAATGAAATAAAATACACTTTTTCATTATAAGTAAAAGTAAAATAAATAAAATAAAAATTGGATAACATATACTCACTCTATCTCTAATTAAAAATTCGAACTTATTTATTGTTGATAAGTAAAATAATTTTTTAAGGACTTTAAAAAATGAAGAACAGAAAGATGAAATAAAATATGGAGTTAAAGAAAAAGACTATTTTTTATATTTTTATTTCTTTTCATTACCTTTTTAACTATTATTACTTTTTACTTTGTACATAATATTTTATTTTTCATTTTTTTTGTAACATTCTCCAAAAAAAATCTTTTGTTTTCAAAAGTACATTATGAAAAATTCTAATTTGAGATGGGAAGCGTATATTTTATTTTATATATTTGTATAATAAAGGTAATTGAAATTGGAAAAATTCAAGATCGGGGAAAACAAATGGCATAAATGTCATTTTTGCTTTAAAATAGGTAAGGAGGACATGCGTGCGCTATTTAGAAACCAAAGGGATTTTACAAATAACTTTTGAAAATAGAGGGGGTTTTGATGCTCTTTTTGTAAACCACAGGGGCACCCATACTATTAACCCTAACTTTCATACTTTAAATTTAAACTATTTATAAACACGATTACTCTGAGACTGTGACTCCGTGCAAGAAATTGTCTTTGGTCTTAGATTTGATTTTGAATAAACCCTAATTTCAGGAACAAGGTTAGCTAGATTCCAACGTATCTGCAAATATGTACGGTTTGGACACAGGCACCGAAGATGTGGAACGAACCGCATTCAGAAAGGCAGAGAAGAAGTACAAGTTGTACTACGATAGCAGCAGAAAGTCCGATTTCTTCCATCGCCTCGCACATTTGGATTGCGATTTATTTCTATTCATTCCCTCTGTTTTTTTGTGATTATTCACATTTTGCGTTGCAGGAAAAAACAACCCATACCTGTGGATTTATCAGAGGTGATTGATTTCAAGTCCATAGCTGAGAGTTATGCCAAGAATGTTGAGCTCCCTGCTGGAATTTCTGTGCTTCAATGTGATTTTGGTCGACCTGTTTTCTGCTTGGAAAGCCATCCAGGTGTCTTGGTTTTATTGCTATTCGGCTTTGGGAGTTTTTCACTTTTATGAGTTTCTCATGCGTATAATAATATGTGGGTGTTTCTGTGGTGCTTATTGGCTTATTGTTGATAAGCAATTTTTAATTTATAAGCTGCTTATAATAAGTCAAATATATTCTTTCGTGGAGTTAAAATGACTTAAATGATAGATAAATCATTTATAAATATTCATTAATGGTGAGGAACAGTTTGATAATCTGGTCAAAACGGAGAATAAAAAAATTGGCTTAAATATAAGTAGTTAAAACCTATTTACTTATTTTTTCTGGCTTAAAAGGAGCTAATAAGCTCACAGAAACATGTCATCACCTGACTAATAAGTTAAAAACTGCTTATAAGCAGTTTTGAACAACTTATAAGCACAGAGAAACACCCACAATATATGTTCATGAAATATTTGAAAGAGCTTCTTTAATTTAATTTTACTACGTATTATATTATAACGATAAAGCTATTGTAACCCCAACATTTTGGAGTTACCAATGACCCCAAGTCTTGCACAGACAACAGTAATGGTCTGTGTGTCTCTGCAAAACTTGGAGTCATGGTAACTCCAAAATGTTGGCTTTACCCTAGCGTGGTCCATTTATTAATACCTAATCTAGGAAGGAAGAAGGTAGATTTGTGAGGTTGGGGTTTCGGGCTCTGGGAAGCAATTTTAAAAATTGGAATCAATTTATGAGAATATGGTCTCCCATAGCATCTCTAAAACTGATTATGAAAAGCAATTAGTTGATTCTGGATCCTGGAGCTCTATCCACACACTCCACAATGTGCGTCTGCTCCTAATTGGAAGAGCTGTATAAGTTTATAAAATAAGATCCGAACACCCCTTAATGTTCTTCAATGGGGCACTTAGCTTGGCTTTGAGCCCTTTGCATGTATTATTTCTCCCCGTCTCGATGTAGAGCTTGTCTTCTGGCTCTTTGTATACGGCTTATAGCGAAGTTGTGGGTGTTGTTGCATGTGGCATCCAATGCCTGACCTAGCATAGTAGCATCCTCTTTGGCAAAAGCACCCTTTACCAAGTAATAATTTAAGTGGTGAAATCCCATAATATTATACTCATCAAATATTCGGAGAAAAGTGAAGCCAAGAATAAGATTGAGCTGAAAAATGGAAAAGGCATAAAAGTTCGTTTCATAATTGTCACTATGTTAATATGTTATATATTTGCTCATGAATTAACAAATATATAAGTGAGATATTTTTATGTTTTATTGAAAGGGAATTTCAAAATATGGAAAGGGAAAAATTAGGATAATTCTAAGGGGCTGTTTGTTTCAGCCTCTTAATGGTTCAGATGTCTGAATGGTTAAGAGATTTGCCTCTGAATGGTTAAGTATTATACAGAGTCTGAATGGTTAAGACCTCTTATCTGAATTGATCAGACATTTGCCTCTGAATAGTTAAGCAATATACTAGCTCTTAATGGTTCAGACCTCTTACTGGTTAAGCACTTAATGGTTCAGACCTCTTACTGGTTCAGCACTTACCGATTCAGAAGTTGCCAAACAGCCCCTAAGTTGATATCAAGAGATATGACACACTATTCAAATCATCTAGGGCTTTAATCTACTTTATACTCCCAATGGTCAGAATTGAGGTATAAAAGCAGACTCTCAATAGACACTCTAATAGTCTTAGTGGCCAAACAAAGAGCTGTAAGTCAGGAAATACTCTTTTTCAAGAGAAGCTTTTGATTTTAATGGTTAATGACCTGCTTCATTGTGCATTTGGTATAATTACCAATTTTTTTTAAATGAAAAAGCAAACTTTATTAAAAGCAAGGAACAAGTACATGGGGGAGGACAAAAACTGAAGCCCCCAATATTACCATTGAGAAACATAGGGAAACAAATTTGCATCATATTTAATAATGCAAGTCAAACCCGGGATACACCAAGGAGAGGGAGGATTCATAGAGGTAGCATTTAGCAGATAGAAGCCCATGGAATGCAAGGCCAAGTGCAACACTATTCACACCCGCTAGGGTATAGTGAAAACCTCAACTTTTTGCTTTAAAGTCAGTGATAATCTTTGAAATATCTTGCTTCCAAATTGTGGGCGACGTCTCACTCCACGTAAGACAGCTTATGATGTCCTTCACGTCACTCTTGATAATCAGGTTATGAATCTCCATTTGGATAGCCATAGAAAAGTTTCAAAATCTAAGCGCTTGATAGCCTTCCACTTGCACTGGGCGTCCATGAAATAATGCCCCAAATAGACCAAGTAACTATCGGGATTTCAAATGATAATCCAGTCGCCATGGCCATTTCTGCTCTGGTGAACCATCATGGCAATGCTGGATTTGAAGCTTGCTGGAGGAGGGCGGTACAACTGATGAATGCAAGTTGCTATGTGACGTCACTGACGCTTATTCTTATCGTCTTAAAAAATGAATACCTGCAAAATAAGAAATATTCTCGGAGTCCAGCACAGGCCCGTGAAGAAAAAGGTGCTGTAAGCCCAAGGTAAAGCTATTAATAATGAAGTTAGCCGGAGACCGGAAGCATATGATTATCAAACATCAGTTCATTCATCGCCTTCTGAAGGTGCCAGATAGGAAAAATAGGAATATAGAGAATAAAGTCATTATCCCTAAGCTAGGCAAGGTCAAACAAGCTATGGAGATAGTCAATAATAGTAGAGTCTGAATTGGCCCTAAGGAAAGCAAGTCTCTGAGAAGAGAACTCATATCCGCTCAGCAAGGTCACACTTCAAGAATTGACTGATAAGGATATCCTCTGAGTTGCACAGAGGATATTTATAAGGGACTTATAAATCAAATAGTTTCAACTTATCCTCAAAGTGAATAATATTGTTGGCCACACACCACAGGCAGAATGATACTTTTTTTTTGATATCCCTTTACCCCCAAATGGCACGGAAGTGACTAGAGTCATTTTTCTGCATTCAAGCGACATTATAAGCGGAATTAATAGAGAAAAGATCGTTGGGATTTGGCTTCCACGTCGGAGCATCCCTAACATCGCACCAGGTGATCCGAATCAATGATAGATCCCACTAAACCCTCGGGGAAGGGGGGGGGGAGGTCAAGAATATTCGAGAACACAGACTCACCATTAAATGTGTCTCGAACGGGGGGTGGGGGAGTAAGGGATTAGCTGGGTCAGCAATGAGGTCCAACACGATGCCCGTCCCACTCCTGTTGGACTCCAAAAGGAGATATCGCCTTTGCCAATAGAGTACGACAGATAAGAATAGAAGTTATGAATTATGATTGACCTTATTGAGGGCAGTCCAGAAATGGGAATGGTGTCTGTTACAGTAGGTTAACAAAGGAAGCTTGCATGTCCTTGGAGGTGGTGAGCTTAAGGTGAAAGGAGTCATGGAATTTGAAGACATTACAAGCATCAATGCCATTCTTGTTAGTGGGGTAAGCACAACGCTCCCAAGATCGCCATATGTGCTCGTTATTATGACTGTTCCTATCCCACAAGAAACCCCTACACTTACAGTTATTATCGTTTAAAACAGAGTTAGGGACCAAGGAGGCAACCAAAGTATGAATCACCATGGAGGACAAAACATGCTGGATGAGGGTGAGCCTACCTCCTTGGGAGAGAAGTTTATGCTTCCATCCAGCAAGCTTCTTATCCATCAAAATGGATGTACTCAAAGTATGCTCTCTCAGGGCGGCCCAGGTAAATGTTGACTCCAAGATAAAATGAAGGGGAAGACAATTTTTTAACAATATTACAATACATAAAGATATTGATTTGGTAAGTAAATTTCCTTAATTCTTGTAGGATTTGCTAAAAGAACCAAAAAAGATGCTAATTGGTCAATCTTACACAGTAATAGTGCTAACAAACATGAGCTTCAATTGTCATAGTTTAGCCAAGCTATTTCATCCCAACCCTGAAGAGTATTTTCACCACTTGCAATGCTCTTCCAACACAAGAACTCCAAATCAAGGTTGTTAAACTCGAGATCCTAGCTGGGATCGTGGGTTTGGGGGGGGGGAGAGGGTTAGAGGATTGTAAATCGTAGATCGTAACTCGAATTGTAAGATTATAGAGTAGTATTTAATAGAGTAAATTCCATAATTGGTCCTTTATAATATGGGGGTTTCCATATTTAGTCATTTATTATCAAATATTATCACCGTAGTCCTTTTTTTAAGGGTACCTTTCCACAAATGGTCCTTTTTTAAATCTTGTGTCGTGTTGGTGTTAATTTAAAGGCTAAAAGTATAACTTGACATCAACATATGTCTAGTGACGTGTTCTGATATTGGTTAAGTGGATAACACAAAAAGAATGACTATGATTGTGGGCTAGGACTCTGACGAAAGATCACATTTGTAGACTATCGTTGTCGTAAAAAGCGACTGTAATTCAAAAACGACGCAAACAGAACAGCCTTTGGAATTGTGTATGACAAAAAAGATATATTATCATTGTGAAATTACACTTTTAGCCCTCAAATTAACACCAACATGATAGAAGATCAAAAAAAGGACTATTTGTGGAAAGGTACCCATAAAAAAAGGACCACTGGGATAATATTTGATAATAGAGGACTAAATAGGGAAACCCCTTTGTTATAAAGGACCAATTATAGAATTTACTCTATTTAATACTTAAATTATACAAGTATAGCATGAACTATACATATGGGTAACAACTTAAATTTAAAACATATGGCCACAAATCATAATCATAATGTGGAAATAAAAAGTACTTCCTGTGTGGTTTCATCCAAAATTAAACATTTCATTTGTTTTTCCGCACTTAAAAAATTAAAGTTTAGGACAAATTTTAGAAAAATGTGAACTATTTATTTTTGAGAGGAATGAAATGTTTATTTTAGAAGTTAGGACAAATCTACAAATTGTGAATGATGCCCACAAAAACTTATGAGTGCTTCCAGAATCTACAAACACAAACCCAAATACTTGATGCCCACGAATGTGGCCAAGTTGTATCATTGAAGGTAAAGTGGTATGAAGCTTGTTGGGCTTGGGCGAGAAATTCAAAGGGTGTACCTGTGAAATTGCTTTGTTCTCCACTTCCCCCCAAGCATGATGAAGCGATGTGGCCTGCCCAAGGTTTTGTGAGCCATGATTGGTACATAAAAGAAGCATGTTGTGGTGCAAACTCCATCCCACATCGGAAGTGAAGAACAAGAATGACCTAAATAAATATGGTTACCCATCTCCATTAGTAACATGCCTTTTGTGAGGTGCCCAAAAATAAATCTGTGAGGGCTTAGCCTCGAGTGGACATTATCATATTAATGTGGGGTTGGGGTGAGGGTACACGCGGTCCCAACATGTGGTATCAGAGCCCAGGTTCGTGCGAGCAAGAGTGGCAGACTTTGTTGTGCGGAGTTTGCAGTGTGCTCAGTGTGACACTAAAGGTCTGCAAACGGTGCCTTGTGTCGAAAGTCTTCTTGACAAGTGGTGGTCGGGCAGCGTGTCCTGCTTGGTGTTAACGACGATATAAGATGATTTGGCACATCAAATGGTGTGACCTTAGAGGATTCGTGATCTTTGGTTTACCTTGTGTCGAAAGTCTTCTTGACAGGAGAAGGTCGGGTGACGTGTCCCGCAGGTGTGTAGCGACGGTGCAAGATGGTGTGCAGATCAAACAAATAATCACTGAAGGAGAGGTCACAGGATTGTGTGGTCTGGGTTTGAGGGGAGGTTTGTTGAGGTGCAAACTCCATCCCACATCGGAAGTGGATAACAAGAATGACCTAAATAAATATGGTTACCCAACTCCATTAGTAAGAGGCATTTGGGAGGTGCCCAAAATAAATCCATGAGGGCTTGGCCCAGTGCCAACAATATCATACTAATGCGGGGTTGGGGTGAGGGTACGGTCCCAACAAAGCACACAAGTAATGGATGGAGGACTTAAATGGATTATAAGGGCCAACTTCATACCGATACTAAAGTGATAAGAGTGTCTGTGCATGATCTAATATCAGAGTTGGGGATGTATGTGTATGTTTCCGTATGCTTATATCTTTGCGTGTGTATAGAGAATTTTAAGTTTAATCCACTTCACATTCATTCTTCTGAGATGTATTACTAATGAAAGGGATTGCCCTTATTTATAATACTAGTGTCCTTGAAGAGTAACAAGTTAAAATCTAAGCAAATACTAATTGTAAGAACCCAAATTAAACTCTAAGCAAATACTAATTGTAAGAAGCCAAGTTAAACTCTAAACTCTGTAACTTCCTTACCAGTTACCACCATTGTGTTTGGGCTTTCAGCCCTTGGCCCATATCATTCTCCTGGTTGAAATGAGTTGTATATTTGCTTGGACGCTGGTCCTCTAAACTTGATTGTATCTAAAGTTTATTTATCTAATACTAATAGATGTTGTGTGCAGGGTTTTATTTCATTCCTGGTGCATTAAGCATTAAGGAACAGTGTCGTTGGATAAAGGAGAGTTTAACTAGGTTTCCACAGCCACCTAATAGAACAAACCACAATGCCATATATGGACCTATAATGGACTTATTTGTTTCTTCCAAACAAGGCATGGTATTAGTTGAAGAGGAGCAGTCATGCCAGATGAATGGTACTGATGCTAACAATGATCCAAGTGTGGCATGTGCTCCTTCTTGGAAATTTTCTGATGTACAGAGTTTGTCATCAAGAGGAGAAGCATGCAAATCAGTACCTGCCTCTGTTTTGCTTCGTAAGTTACGATGGAGCACCCTAGGCTTGCAGTTTGACTGGTCCAAGGTTTTGTTTATTTTCTACATTCGAAGTCTCTAGATTGGTTTGAATTCTTTACAGGCTTTTCCCTGATCTAAATGAGCTTGTTCTCAGAACCTATTACATGGAAGATATCATTTTAGAAGCCAGTTGATATGCATATGCGGATATGCCTAATCCATCCCAACCTTATTTCATTTAAGAAAGTCCACGGATATGTCAAACCCACGGAAATGTTTATGAAAGCTCTTTTAGTTTATTTTTTTTTAATATATTCAAACAAGACCTTTCTCCTTTTTTTCTGGACCTTCTATTACCAATTAATGAACAAGGGCTGTATTTTTTTTATTCATAAAAGATTATACCGATTAATTGCATTTAACTCATAAAACATTATACCGTGAGAAGAAACAGGTTGCACCATATTGTGATATTGTATGTAGTACTTTTTCAAATTTCAGTGCTCGATCGCTATAGCAGTTGTATTACTTGTATCTATTGGTTTCTGAATAAGTTATTTCTGATGATATTGCAGAGGAGCTACAATGTATCTTTATCTCATAACAAAATACCAGATGAACTTTGCCAGCTTTCTTCAAAATTGGCAGCTCCTGCCATGCAACCAGGCGAAAAATTCCGACCTGAAGCAGCAATTGTCAATTACTTTGGTCAAGGTATACATCACAAATTTAAATTCTGTCCAGCTCTTAATCAAGCTCACATTTTATGGTGATTATCATCGTCATCATCATCATCATCTTCTTCTTTACTAATTAGTTCTTTTCCAAATTTGAGCCCTTCTTTTCCAACTAGTTCTGATCCATGACCTGGATACTTTGGGTTTTATTTCTTCACATTCTCACTCAGTCATTTAAGTTTTACACACACTCTTCTTCAGGTGATATGCTCGGCGGTCACCTTGACGACATGGAAAAAGATTGGAGCAAACCGATTGTGAGCATGAGGTAACCGTGCTGCCTTCTCTATGAAGCTTCTTGTACCTCAATTTAACTAGATTAAGGTTGAAGTGGTGTACTGCCTATCCTGATGCTGGACCTGTTCTGCAGTTTGGGCTGCAAAGCTATTTTCCTCATTGGCGGGAAATCTAGGGAGCAAATGCCACTTGCAATGTTCTTACGTAGCGGTGATGTTATCCTTATGGAAGGAGCTGCAAGGGAATGCTTCCATGGTTAGACCTTCAAACTTTTTATTTTGTTGTTATATTTAAAAGCATGCTCTCTTTGTTGTATATGCCAAAGGAAAATTCTTATACCTAATAAGCAGTGGCCATAGAAAAGCTGGATCAAATTTGGTGAAATACGGAGTATTTTGTAACAGGAAATTATATCCTCATATACTGTGTAGATCTGTCCAATTTGCACAACCTGTTTTTGGCTCGAGATCGGACTATATTAGTTTTTGGGTTGAATATGTGATCTGAACTTGAAAGTGACCGAACCCAAAACGACCCACCAAAACTAGTCAAAATGACCAGGTCTGACCGCAACCCGACCAATCCGTTGATGTAAATTTTCCCCCAAATGGTGCATTTTGAAATGAAATACGGAGTATAACTTTTTAAAAACCATATTATCATACTGTATTATTTTCTTTTTATTCAGTTCGAATGCATGCTATATTATTTCCTAACATTTTTAAAAATAATATCGTGTTGTTGGTTTTGTTTTTCTAAACATTGTTTATATAAGCGTTGTATTTTCTCTATAATCATTGTATGTGTATTAATCCAAAAACTCGTTGTATAAACCTCATACTTCCTGCGTCCCAATTGTTTTGGAACATGAGAGTGGCGCACAAATTTAAGAAAAGTAAATTGTGTCATTGATTTTGAATTTGTATGGTGTGACTTGATTTGTGCCACATTAAGCATACCAAATAGGGTATTAGATGGTCCAAAATGATGTGCTCAATCAATTGGGCACAATTTTAATAAAGTAAAAACCGTGTAATTGAAATTTATATATAGAGAAAAAATTGTGCACCACAAAACCCGTCCAAATAACAAACACATCTTTGGGGACAAACACAAGCAAAACATTCAAGTCTTTTTGGGCTCAAGGGAGTATAATGTGAAATACAAGTGTTAATACTACGGGTATATATTTATATATTAAAAACGCTCCCAACCCGTTGGTCAACTCGAACCTGAAAACACTAGGTCATGAACAAGCACCCCCCAACCCTAACTCCAACTCCTGCTCTGACCAACATGTTGAAAGCTATAGTCCTTTCCATAGATGGGTTCCTTCGTCGCCACCACTTATACTACTACTACTAATCTCCTTAAATGATATCATTAGTCACCCACCCATCATACTGATTGTCCTCTGAAAGTGTAATAGGGTGTTTGGGTGTGCATAATTTTTTCCAAAAAGTGATTATTTCTCAGCTTCTAATTTATATTCACAAAGTCAGTCCCAAACACCCTCTAATAATCTACAAGTATTACAGGTGTGCCACGGATCTTCACCGACAAGGAACATGCTGAAATTTCAGAGCTGGAGTCGAGCTTTTCTTCAGGCGAAGGTGACTCCTCATTGTTGGAATACATTAGGGTTTCCAGAGTAAACATCAATATCAGGCAAGTTTTCTGATCATCACCATACCCAAAGTGACACCCAAACATAGCGCCTTCATCACATGATGCCGAAAGTCACTTCTTCTTCTCGGCCCCTCAAGATGTGGCTCTGCAAATATTGTACGCCGTATTTCGCGTTAGGATTCTGTATTGCACTTGTTGCATTTTTAGGCATGTTGCTAGGGGATTAAGCTTATGAGCTATTTGTCTCCCATTTTCCTTTCATGCCAAGGTTATTATTATTACCCCTCCAGGTCCGTGTATTATATTCCCTCTCTGCCCTCCCCTTATGTGGCGGTGAGAACCCCTATTTTCCCTCTGTTCTGTTTTTTGTTTTCAGTTATAAAAAAAACTCACATCTTTTTTATGTGGTGGGTTGTAGATCATTAATTAGATGTGTTTTTTTGTGTCCTCAGCCTCTCAGGTGGTTTGTTGCTCTCCATTTGTGGGTGTTTCATATGTATTTCAAGTGTGCTGGTTTTACTTTTTAGAAAATTTTGGTAGTAAAAAATATTCCCTCATTCGTATTTAATGTCTGTTTAATATTCAAATGGTCAACTTTCAACCATGTTCTTGACTCATTTTCGCGACTTATTTGATAAAATAATAGTCTTGTCACCTTTTTGTTTTGTACTTGTAGAACTTTTAATGTAGTGTTTTAAAATATAAATTTTATTTTTTAATTTCTTTCCAATTTTCAAATTAATTGAATTGAAAATAATTTTAATCAATTTTTTTAAACAATAATTGGTGATTCTTTTTAGGACGGTGAGATTACTCTGTAATAGTTAAAAAAGACAAATGTTATTTTAACTCCAACATTTGAGTCTCACCCTTTTATCGTGGAGGCACGATGGCACTTCCATTTTGGGACGAGCATTGGGTGTTTGCCATCACATGTTTCGCCGTTTACTTTTAGCCTACTTGGTACATGAATTTGGAATTGAAATAAAATAGAAATAGATGGAATTAAATTTAATTTCAATTCTGAATCTTTTGTTTGGTATAAGTAAAGATTTCACATAGAATTGTTTCATAACTTCAATTATTTGTTTGGTAATATAAACTTGTATATAGAATTGTTATAAAATTATTATGAAATTGTATTTCAAATTTCTCGCAGTAGAGTAATTTAAAACCAATTCAAAACCCAATAAAATATATAACCATTAAATTTAATTTTTTGGGTAAATTTCACCAATGGTACCTGAACTTTAGCTGGAATTTCGAAGTGGTACCTGAACTTCAAATCCTTTCACAAAAATCCCTGAACTTACACAATCCTTTCACTAATGAGCCATTAGCCCGTTTCTAGGTTAACTTCCAGTCATTAGGGCCAAATTCGAATTTTATATATTTTAAAATTTTCAATTTGACCCCATTTCTTCTTTTCTTTTATTCCAGGCCCCGCCGCCGCCGCCTGCCGGTCAAAGTCGCCGGAAAATGAACTTTTTCCGATTCCGGCGAGACCAATGTCATTCTCTTCGTCTTGAGACGAGGATCAATAATATCCAAACCATTTTGTCTAATTTTGCCTGTAACTTCTCGAATCTGAATTTTTCTACTCGAAAAAACCCTAAAATTCGAAATTGAATCCAAAATGGGGGTTTTTGCAAATCGTCATCAAATCTTGCAATTGAAGGGTCCTTGGAGGTCGCCCGGATGCCACGACCACATTGGACTTGGTGCCCGCCGTCAATTTCGCCGGAGTTGGCCGGAAAACGCTCTGACCCCATTTTGGACTCAATTTCGAATTTTAGGGTTTTTTCGAGTAGAAAAATTCAGATTCGAGAAGTTACAGGCAAAATTAGACAAAATGGTTTGGATATTATTGATCCTCGTCTCAAGACGAAGAGAATGACATTGGTCTCGCCGGAATCCGAAAAAGTTCATTTTCCGGCG